TAATAGTGCCACTCCCTGTGAGATTATGGGGGCCAATTACATTCAAGCTACCATGCTTGGCTACAGCTTGATCGCCACAGGACTGTGTGGCTTTGCCTAATGATAGGCACGTGTGGTTGCTAAACCCAGGAAATAAGCCAGTGCTGGTGACTCAAGCCCTGATCCATTCTTGTACGTGGGGGCCACGCATCATGCAGCATCAAGGGCATACAGGACACAGAGGTGAGCTGGGCTGGTCAGTTAAGTCATGCTAGTCATGACCTTGCCTATGACATACACACAGAGAAGGGGGAAAATACAGAGAGCTAGAATACATGCTAGCAACATGTCAGGAAAGCTTTCAGAGAAAGCATGGGAAATATCCAAAGGAAGATTTTTTTTTCTTTTCTTTCCTAGGGAAATGTATCAGAGGCCTATCCCCAATCCTGTGCAAAGGAAAAACACGAGTTCATCTGGCAGACAGCTTTACAGGTAAAGGTACTTGCCACCTGTTGGCTTGAATGCAACCCTGAAACCCATGCAGGGAAAGGAAAGCACCGATTTCTGTAAAATGCTGTGCGACTTGGCGAGAAGGAAGTCTTGAGTTCACCTACCTATCGGATCTCACATAAAAATACCAGGCATAGAGGCATTTGCTTATAAGCCCACGACTGGGGAGGTGGGGACTGGAGGATCCCAGGGCTCACTGGCCAGCAGTTAACCTAACTAACTGTTGAGTTCCAAGCCAACAAAGAGACTCTGTTTCAAAGGAGGTGGATGTGTGTGTCCTTGAGATGATGCTAAAGGTTGTCCTCTGGCCTCCACACACAAGCACACACAAACATAGATGTGCACCTGCAGGTACAGGAATGCACACATATATACTGATGGGCTGTCTTCTGTACATATGTTTCTCTTATTGGTTGATGAATAAAACACTGTTGGCCAATAGAGCAACAAGATAGGCAGGTCTAGGAGATGAGAATTCTGGGAAACGTAGTCAAAGTTAGATGCCATGTTCGATGGGAAAAGGGGTAAGAGGTCCGGGCCCTTTCCTGGTAAGATAAGGCCACGTGGAAACACTTAGATGAATAGAAATGGGTTAATAATTAAGACAGAGCTAACCAAGAAGCCCAAGTCACCGGCCAACAGTTTCATAATAAAGCGTCTGTGTGTTCCTTTGGGGCTGTGGGACCTGCTGGGCCAGAAGACTAATACGTTTATGTTTTTGGTAAATGAATGAATGCACGGAGGAAACTACATTTAACTTAAAACCTGAAAACTAAGAGGGAATAAACCATACAAAGCCCAGGAGGAGAGTCTTCCAGACAAAGGAGACACCGGTGTGGGGCCTCAAGGAGGGAAAATCTTCCTGAACCATGAAGGCCAGTGGAGTTGAAGTACTGCTGGAGACAGGCTGCAGGATTGAAGAGAAGGCCAGAGAGAGTCCGGAAGCTAAGACTCAGCGGAACTACGTACGGGTCCTGAGAGGGAGTTTAGGCTTAGGTGAGTGGAGGCTGGAATTAGGCAGCGCCCTGTCTCTCTAGCAGTTCCAAATGGGATAGTCATGTTGCTGGAGAGAAGGTTCATCCGGCTTACAGATTGGAGGCTCCACTCTGTGACTGATTGACTGGTCCTGCTGTTTTAGGGGCCCATGGGGAGTCAGGACCTCATGATGAAGAGTTGGTGAATAAAACTACGTGCTTCATTCCCAGGAAGCAGAGAGGGGAAGGGGGGATGACCAGCAGCTCATTCAGGGACACAGCCAGAGAGACCTAAGACCTGCCACCAAGTGCCTACTACGTGGGGGACCAAGCCTTTAACATGAAAGTTGTTGGTGCCACCTCAATGTCCACCTGCCCACCCATCCACAAAAATGTATCAACAGGGCCGGGCGGCGGTGGCACACGCCTTTAATCCCAGCACTCGGGAGGTAGAGGCAGATGGATCTCTGTGAGTTTGAGACCAGCCTGGACTACAAAGCAAGTTCCAGGACAACCTCCAAAGCCACAGAGAAACCCTGTCTCGAAAAACCAAACCAAACCAAACCAAACCAAAACAAAAAACAAACAAAAAAAAGTATCAACAGGAATATAATAAGAATTTAAATGGCTTATCGGGAATTCTGGCCCTTCCGCAGTGTGCTCCTTCATCATAAGCCTGGAAGAAATAGGTCCAAGTCCTTGTGAACCCAAAACCCCCTTTTTTTTTTTTTGCTTGTTTTTCGTTTTTGTTTCTTGAGACATAGTCTCTCTACATAGGCCTGGCTGTCCTGGAACTCACTCTTAGACCAGGCTGGCCTCGAACACAAAGAGATTTGCCTGCCTCAGCCTCCCAAGTGCTGGGGCTAAAAGTGTGTGCCACCAACACCTGGCTAGGAATGGTTTGACATTAAAGAGATTAGACTTGTGTGCTGCAAGACACATACATGACCCATTGGGACCAGATGAGTTAGGTAGTTGGTTGTGGTGGTGAAGAGAGTTCAGGAGGCCGGGAGAGCTCAATCTGTGCTACACAGGAAGAGCAAAGGAAAGAAAGAGAGAGGGCTGGAAAGAGGGTCCAGTGGTCAAGAGCATTTGTTGCTTACAGAAGACCTGGGTTCAGTTCCCAGGTCCCGTGTGTGGCTCTCCTGTTAACTCCTGTTCCAGAGGGCCTGATACCCTCTGCTGCCTTCCTCAGACACTGCACACACGTTGTGTACACACGTACAGGCAAAACACACACATAAAGGAAATCTAAAATAAATAAGATGTATTAAGAAAAAGGAAGAAGGGAGGATGGAAGAGAGAGAAAATGCAAGAAAAAGTGAAAAAAGAGGAAAAGACACAAGAAGCAGAATATTTGATTTATTTGTTGTTGTGAGATATGCAGAATATATAAATCCATGCAGACAGAAAGCAGATTAGTTATAGGAGGTAATGGTAGGATGAGGAGGGACATTTAGTGTGTTGGAGGGTTCTTTTCTTGGGTGATTTAAATGTTCTGGAATTAGAGAGTGATGCTGTTAAGCAACTATTTTTTTTTTGTTTTGTTTTTCGACACAGGGTTTCTCTGTGGCTTTGGAGGCTGTCCTGGAACTCGCTCTGTAGACCAGGCTGGTCTCAAACTCACAGAGATCCGCCTGCCTCTGCCTCCCGAGTGCTGGGATTAAAGGTGTGGGCCACCAATGCCCGGCTAAACTATAATTATTTTTAAGTCATTGCATTTAAATGTGTGATTTAATCTGAGATTACAATGGCAATTATGATGTTTTTAAAAAGACAGTGAGCTGGGGGTTGGTGGCGCATGCCTTTAATCCCAGCACTCGGGAGGCAGAGGCAGGCGGATCTCTGTGAGTTCGAGACCAGCCTGGACTACCAAGCGAGTTCCAGGACAGCCTCCAAAGTTACAGAGAAACCCTGTCTTGAAAAACCAAAAAAACAAAACAAAAACCAAAAAGACAGTGTAGTAAACATCAGTGTAACTAGAGGTCCAGAATGACTTGCACAGAATTCCTTTCCTGCAAAGTAGACTTGCCTTCCTGAAAAGTCTATAGCAGTTTAATTTTACTGACAAATTCTTTTTTGTTGTTGTTGTTGTTGTTTTTTGGTTTTTCGAGACAGGGTTTCTCTGTATTGATTTGGAGGCTGTCCTGGAACTCGCTCTGTAGACCAGGTTGGCCTTGAACTCACAGAGATCCGCCTGCCTCTGCCTCCCGAGTGCTGGGATTAAAGGCGTGTGCCACCAACGCTCGGCCCACAAATTCTTTGCATATCTAATAGTCATGTTCCCATTTTTAGTATATAGCAAACAAATAGTAACTATTTTAGTCACCTGTCGGCCTTTTGGCTAGGATCAAGTGTAACTCGTTTAAACTATAGTGGAATGTGAAAGATTATAGTCTAGCCGGGCGTTGGTGGTGTGCGCCTTTAATCTCAGCACTCGAGAGGCAGAGGCAGGCAGATCTCAGTGAGATCAAGGCCAGCCAGGTTTACATAGCCAGTTCCAAGCCAGTGAGGCCCTGTTTCAAATAAATAAATAAAGAGAAATAAATAAATGTTACAATTTGGTAGTCTCTGATGGAGGTGCGCACCTCGGCGTTCAGGTAGGAGGATTTCAACTTCGAGGCAGTCTGAGACATAGCAAATTCCTGCCCTAAGAACAGTTAAGAACAAGATTATGGCTTCGTACGCCAGACAATATATACTTTGTGGCAAATTCTGGACTTTCATGGTACTGTTACTTTGCTCAATTTAAATATAGTAAGGAAGTTTTTGTCTGGCTGATCTGGCCGTACAAAGGGCTTCCTTGAATAGTTGTTCAATACAACACCGTTTCTCAATTACTTGAGTCTGTCATCCACTGACACTCTCAGGTATTATCAATAATTTCAAGCACAAAGAAGAGCGCCTCTCTAAAAGAAAAAGGTAAAATAAAATTAATGGAAGTTCATGTTAGTTTTCTTCCATGGGCTTTCCTGGGGGAAGCGGAGAGTGTAGCAAGGCTTTTGCATCCTGGTGCTAAATGCTCCCCACAAGAGAGCAAACGTTTTTTAATTTTTTCCGACTCCTCTCTTCTCCTAGTTTCTGGGGCCAGCCTGCAGCATCCTGGAGGTGCGGGTGGCAGGATTCCCACGTCACTAGACAGCAAGGGCAACCTGGAGAACAAACCAGCACAGCGGTCACCCCGGGGCGCCGACAAGAATCCCTGACAGGCCCACCTACGGCTGGGTGCGTCCAGCCCTCGGCGAGCCTACCTGAGCCCCGCCCACCGCGCCCCAGGCCTCCGCGCCGTCTCCATGGTGACGCCCCGCCCCGCCTCCCTCTCTGCGGAGCCTGGTAGCTCTCTCTCACCCCTCCCCCCCTCGCCTGGCGCCGCTTGCTTAGGGGAGGTGGGGGCGGGGGTGGGGGCAGGGATGGGGGAGGGGGGTGGGGCAGGGGGGCGGGGACAGGATGCAGGCGAAGAGGAAATCGGCGGCGCGGCTCCCGTCGCTCATTGGCCGCCGCGTCCGGGAGCCAGAAGCCCCGCCTCCGCGGCGAGGGTCACGTGATCCCCCTCAAAGATGGCCGCCCTGTTGTTTTGATGAATAATACTTGGTGGGGCGAGGGGGTAAGAGTCGGCTTGGAGGGGTAGGAGGACCGAGGCCCGCAGCGAGCGCTTCGCCAGGCCCTCCGCTCCCCTCCCCCCTGCCGGGGTTCCTGCGTGGAGGCGGGGCGAGCCGGGCCTGCTTCTGGAGGGGAGGGGCTTCCCGGGACGGCGCTGGGCTCCGCCGGGGGCTGCTGGAGGGGTCGCCGCGCCTCGGGGAGCTTCCAGGGTGCAGAGCAGCCGTTCCCGCCGGGGGCCAGGGGCGGGACCCGGAGCGGGGTCTGCGGGAGAGCCACGCGGCCGCCGCGTCACCGCCACGAAGACACGGCGCGCGGCGGGGCCCGAGCCGAGCTGGGTAACCTGGGGAGCTAGGGGAGTCGGCGGCGCCCGGAGAGGACCCCGGAGCAGCGGCCGCGGCCCGAGGAGGAGGCGGCGGAGGAGGAGGCGGCGGCGGCGGCTCGGGGCGCTTGCAGCTGGAGGAGGCTGGGGCGATCCGCGCGGCCGCAGCCCAGGCGATCCGGTGCCTCGTGTTCTCAGTGTTTCACCTCTGACTATGCAATTCTGAAACCTCCCCCACCGGGGGCCCAGGCAGCCCGCTAGAAACCTTCCAGCCTGCTTCGCTCCCGCCCCGGCCTCAAGAACTGAGGATCTCTCTTCCCTAACGCCCTTCACCATTAAGAGGAAAGCGATGGAGGAGCTGAGCGCTGACGAGGTGAGGAGCTGGGGCGTGGGGGCGGCGGTGGCGGCGGGGGGGGCACCTTGAAAGGATTTACTTGGCAACTCTTTGGGGCTTTGGTCGGGGACGATTTTGCGCTAGTGGTGTCGGGCTTTTGGGACTGGGAGGCCGCGGGGACGGCCTTTTTCAAGGATAATGAGGTTTTGTGGCTGTAGTCATTCATCCCCATCAGGTTGGCTGTAATGAAAGGAGCTCCCACTTTGGGCTACGGTGTCCTCAGCATGTTTACTCAGCCACTCATATTCTCCAGAGATAAGAGAATGCAAGACCTCGGAGAGGGTCTCTCGTTTTATTCTCCTTTATTCTCTTTCCTTGCTTCTTCATTCGGAACTCCACTTGCTGCTGTCTTTTACTGTCTGAATATTAGGAGAGCATCTTGAAGGTGTTCAGTCTTTTTAAAAGGGTCTTCAAGAAAGAGGGGCAAGATTGAGATCGTGGTATATTGTGTGTGTCCGTGTCTTCGAGGATTTAAAGGACAATTGTGGATTAAAATAATGGTTTAATGGCAGTTTTAAAAGGAAGTGCTGGAAATCCCAGATACATGTGGCGATTTCATTGTATAAGTTGATCAAAGGTACCTTTGTGTTTGAGAGGTAGTTACAGATTCCTTGATTTGTAACAGAGTGTATATCCTTAATAGTTTTAAAGATTCCAGTTAAATTGTAATAATTTTAACAGACTCCTAATGACTGCTGGTCTTCTACTTTTTATTTTATTTTTTATTTTTAGTTCCCCTCCCCCTTAGACTTGGGTTGTGGTGTGTCGGATTGTCAGAAAAGCAGTGGCAGGGCACAAGGAATTTCCTGTGACTTGGTTGGTTGACTTTTCCCAGTCTTTTTACAAAGCGAGGCCTTCTTCTCAAGACCCCTTCTATCCCTGCTTCATGTAAACTTCCCCTGCAGGAGTAGGAAAGTAGCCATCTGTCATCAGGTTGGCTGGGAGAGGTTCTTGCTCCACTTTTGGACATGGCCTTTCTTCTCATGTTTTTTTAGTCCCTCAAATTCTCCAGCGATGGAACATGCACACGGGTGGGTGAAGGGTCAGGTAGGAAAAGAAACAATTTTGTGGATTGTGATACTTCAGTTGTTAAGTCATTCTGTGTCAGCTAACTTGGTCTTCCTCAACTACAGCAGGAGTGTAATCTTAAATCAGAAAAGTCCTGAGCAGTTTCAGAAATAAATACTGCCTTGGAAACATTTTTTTTGTAGTTCTTAAGAGTAGCCCCTCCCCCCATTTTTTTTTTAATTCTAAAGAGACACAGTCTGTGTTTTGAAAAACTGATGTAGTCCTTTACTTCTAGAAAGTCATTTTTTTTCTTACGATCTCTAGTGGTTTAGAGGCCTTTACAGATTTGTTTTACTCATTTTTTTTCACACCAATAGTAAAATATACAGACTGGCCAAAGATACTGTGTAATTCAGAAGGTGCCTTTTCATATTTGCTCAGTTCTTGAGATGGTGTAACTCTTTTAGTTACCGTAAAAGGAACACATACAACCTTTGTGGAAGAAACAGAGATTTTTTTTCAAGGTCAACAGAACACTAAAACATATATGAAAAATTAAATTTTCCAGGGCAGGGTTAATATAAAGTTTCTGTCAACAAATTAGTTGACCTGACTACAAAGGCAGAACAATAACTGGTCATTCTTTTTCTCATTAGAAGCTAGAAAAAAAAATCTCTTTAAAATTTGTTTTTCTTTTTGAATATCACTGTGTAGCCCTGGCTGGCCTCCAACTCACAGAGATCTACCTGCCTCTGCCTCTGCTATTCCTGCTGGGAATTGTGTACTGACTTGCCTAGCTTTAGACCAGTTCCTTTAATACTGGGTTCTCAACAGATACTTTTCCAAAGGTTTTTTGCCTTTGTATTGTTACTCTGTTAGTAGAAACTTGTATCACCGCAGGTGATGTTGATTTGGTTAAAAAATAACAGGTGTGTTGAAGGATACATTTCAGACTTTAAAACAGTCATGCCAGTGACCTCACTGTTAGTTAGGAAATTGGGTTAAATCAGAATTTCATATTTTAGCAAAATGAAAATATTTGTGAATGCAGGCTAGAAGAATAAGAACTGGTTTAACCAGACTAGGTCCCTCTCTCATAGGTCACCTTGAGTTCTTTTATTTTTTTCTTCGTATTTGAAAGGGTGGTTCAGCTGCCTTGCTGTGTTATTTATGTGGTACTTTACAGAGTAGAGCTGTGACTAAGTTCAGCCTCTTTTAGACTTCTTACATTCCACAGCATCATTGTTTACAAGATCTTCATGCTATAGCTACTCACGTGTTGTTTTCGTGTACCAAGGCAATGAATGCTGTAAGTAGGGCAGGCGTTTCAAACTGCTTTTCAGCAGTGGTGATGAAATTGCTTTGAAATGATTTGTACCTTTTCTCCCCCTATTCTCCTAAATCTTCCTGACCTACTTCTGAGAGATGGCTGCCTGGGACTCAGGGTGTGGTCAAGGTTTTAGAAGAGTTAAGTGTTCGTCCCAAATGCAGCATTATGACCTTGGCTTTTTATTTGTTTTTATCTGTCTATCTGTTTATCTGTTTTGTTTTTTTCTGAGATGGTTTCTCTGTGTGGCTTTGGAACCTGTTCTGGCTGGCACTCACTCTGTAGACCAGGCTGGCCTTGAACTCACAGAGATCCACCTGCCTCTGCCTCTCAAGTGGTGGGCTTAAAGGTGTGTGCCATCACCTCCCAGTCTGGATTTTTTTTTTTTTTAGTACAGGGTACGGATGTATGTTCCAGGCTGACGTTAGGTTTGTAATCCTCCAGCCTCAGCTTCCCAAGTGTTGGGATTACAGATCAGCAGAGTTCTGTAAGTGGAAAAGGATCGACAGTTATGAACAGCCCTAGAAGCCTGCACTTTGTCAGGCATGGTGCAGCCATTTCTCATTTGGTAAAATAATGCAATAAAGTAGGAACCATTTTGTGTATTTTATAGGTGAGGAAACAGATTTAGGTTAAATGATTTGGCAAAAGTGACCTGGTTTTGAAGTCACATGGTTAGAATTCAAACTCACCCCTGATTCCAAAGCCACTTTTATTACATTTCACTGTTTAACAGTTGACATAGATTTATCACAGCATCTGTATTAATACCCTGTCTGATACACCCCATTTTCTGTAAAGTGCTGTTTTGTATGAATGTATTCATGATGTGTTCTGGTGGTTTTGGAACTGATTAACTGGTGTGCAATAATGTTCCCTCAACAATGCCTCCCAAACCTAGCCTCAAATGGTTCACTCCATAAATTTGGGGGTTGAGTTGGAAGATAGAGATAGGAACCTAAAATGTACAATATAGGGGCTGGAGAGATGGCTCAGCAGTTAAAAGCACTTGTTCTTGGAGAGGACCCAGGTTCAGTTCCCAGCAGCCTCCAGTTACTAGCCACCAGGGGATCTGGTACCCTCTTCTGACTTCTGCAGGTACCAGGCACACATGTGGTACATACACATATGCAGGCAAAATACTCATACACATAAAAATTATCTTTTTTTTTTTTTGGTTTTACGAGACAGGGTTTCTCTGTATTGTTTTGCAGGCTGTCGGTCCAGCCTGGCCTCGAACTCAAAGAGATCCGCCTGCCTCTACCTCTCGAGTGCTGGGATTAAAGGTGTGCGCCACCACCGCCTGGCAAAAATTATCTTAATGTACAGTATAGTTATTGTGTGATGCATATTGTGGAGGCATACATAAGACACTCAGAAGGGACACATTGTGGAATGAGGTCTTAATTAAGACATTAGAAAAATGTTATTCTGTGTTGTGGCCTCAAAAGGGTACTGGGAGCTGGGTGTGAGAGATAGGGACGTGGAAATTAGCACCATCTCTTGGGAGTTTGTTTGCGGGTTAGCGCAGGCATCAGATCTCCTCATTTCTCTGTAAGACCACAGTCTCTCTACCCTGCCCTGCAGGGTGTTAAGGCTTTAAGATGAATGGCAAGGGGATAAGCATTAGCTGCTGGGAAGGTGGTACATACTGGAAGATAGCAGGAGAGAGGGGAGAGGACACCAGTTTGTACATGTAGTTTGTTGCCTTCAGAGACAAGACAGTTCTTCCTGGACCTGGATGTTTTGAGACCTCTGATGGGGGTGCTAGGAACCAAATGCATCTTCTGCAAGAGCTTCTAATTGTTGAGCAGTCCCATCAGCCTTTTGCTCAATTAATTAATTAATTAATTGAGACAGGGCTTCTTTGTGTTAACAGTCCCGGCTGTCTTGGAACTCACTTTGTAGTCCAAACTGGCCTTGAACTCAGAAATCTGCCTGCCCCTGCCTCAAGTGCTGGGATTAAATGCTTCCCTGCCTGGCCCTTTGCCTCCTCTAAAACAGGTGATTTAGCTGACAGAGAGTTCCCTGTGCTAAGTTCTGAACTCCCCGACACCTCTCCTATTATTGTCTCTATTTTACAGATAAGAAAATAAAGATTATTAGAGATTAGTTAGCTTGCTGAAAGGCATGTAAGCAGGCAAGCACTCTACCAGCAAAATTACACCTCATCTCTAAGGCATACTGCTGGTTTACATGTGGGATCTGGATTCCAATCTAGCGCACCATTAGAAATGTCCCTGTATGAGTAGGGGAGGGAGGCAGTGGAAACCAGTAGTAGACTTTTGTTCTTCAGTTGCTATGGCCGAGAGAACAGGCCTCAGCTAGCCCTCCATGCTGTGTGGGCTGGTGGCAATGTTTGCACTTACCTCTGTGCTGATAGTTCCTTGCTGCCTGTCCATTGCCACGGAGACCTGCTTCTAGGGAGCTTCGTTTTCCTCAGGGTAGGTAGGCACAGCAGGTGCTTTTTCATGATGTGCCCTATGAAGGAAAATAAAGTATCCTGGAAGGACAGAGCACACTGCTGTGGCTCTTTTGTTTTATTATTTGTATGCCTGAATGTAGATCTGCATAGGTGATTGTGAGACATCATGTAGGTGTTAGGAACTGAACCTGGGTGGTCAAGAGCTGTACGTGCTTTTAACCACTGAGCCATCTCTCCAGACCCAACACATTGGGGAAATTAAAAAAAAATTAAAAAATTTTAGATAGGGTCTTACTTGGTAGCTCTGGCAAACCTGGAGCTCTAGTCTAGCCTGGGCTCAAACTCCGATCCACCTGCCTCTGCTTGCCTGATGGGATTGAAGTAGCTATCATCACAGCTGGCTTTTGAGGGGCGAGAAGCCTTGCTATTGATTCAACCTGGCCCCAAACCCCTGGGCTCAGAAGATCCTCCTGCCTCAGCCTCCTGAGAAGCTGAGACTGCAGGCATGTGACAGGACACTTGGTTTAGAAGTTGTCACATGCGGGTGTCGGGTGTCTTCTATGTATGAAGACCAGAGGTGTCTCTGCTTGCTTGCCTCTTTATTTTCTGAGATAGGCCTTCCCATTTGTCTTAATCGTTGCTCTGTTGCTGTGGAGAGACACCATGGTGAGGGCAACACTTACAAAGAGCATCTAATTGAAGACTTGGAGTTGCAGCAGTCCATGGTTATCAGGGAGGGGAACATGGCTGCAGTAGTTGAGTGCTGTATCCTGAAAGAAGAAGGCACTGGGCCTGGTATGGGCCTTTTGAAACTTGAAAGCCCTGGCATGCACTTCTGAAAACAGGGCCACACCTCTTAATCCTTCTCAAACAGTGCCATCTCCAAAAACAAAGCATTTAAATATATGAAGCCATAGGGGAGCATTCTTCTTTTTTCTCCCAAGACGGGGTCTTTATGTAACCTTGGCTGTCCTGAAACTCACTCTGTAGACCATGCTGGCCTCAAACTCAGAGACCTGCCTGCTGCTGCCTCCCAAGTGCTGGGGTTAAAGGTGTCCTCTACTTCCTGGCTCAGGGGGGCATTCTTATTCAGACGATCACATCATTGAACATCATTTCAGCTAAAATGAGTAGCCACTGAGTCCCTGGGATTTGCCTGTCTGTGGCTTCCCAGCACTACGGTTAAAGGTGTGTTGTCACACATTATGTATTAGTTGGGATTCTCTGCAGGAGCAGAATTTAAGGAGTGTGTATGTACGCGAGTGCATGCACAGTTTATTAGAATGGCTTACAGGCTGTGGTCCAGCCAGTTCAATGGGTCTATCAAAAGAAGCTCCAAGAATCTAGTAGTTGTTTAGTCCACAAGGCTGGGTACCTCAGCCATCTTCAGTACACACTGGAACCCTGAAGAAGTAGGCTCTAAAGCCAGTGAAGAAATGGACTTGTTATCGAGCGCAAGAGCAGGCTTCCTTCTTCATGTCCTTTATGTAGACTGCCAGCGGAGGGTGTGGCCCAGATTAAGAGTGGATCTTCCTACCTCAGAGATACAGATTTGATGTGGGCCTTCCCACTTGAAATGATTTAATTAAAAGTCCCTCTCGGGGCAGTGGTGGTGCATGCCTTTAATCCCAGCACTCGGGAGGCAGAGGCAGGCGGATCTACAAGAGCTAGTTCCAGGACAGCCTTCAAAGCCACAGAGAAAAACCCTGTGTCAACCAAAAGAAAAAGGAAAAGAAAAGAAAAAAGCCCCTCACAGGTGTCCGTAACCCTTGGGTTTTAGTTAATTCCAGATGTAGTCAAGTTGACAACTGAGAGTAGCGGTACATGTAGCTTTTATGTGGGTGCTGGGGATCTGAATTTAGGTCCTTATGTCTTTTTTGTTTTGTTTGTTTTTTCGAGACAGGGTTTCTCTGTGGCTTTGGAGGCTGTCCTGGAACTCGCTTGGTAGTCCAGGCTGGTCTCGAACTCACAGAGATCCGCCTGCCTCTGCCTCCCGAGTGCTGGGATTAAAGGCGTGCGCCACCAACGCCCGGCAGGTCCTTATGTCTTAATAGCAAGCACTCTGGCCATAACTCCATCTCCCCACCCGAGAATGTCTTTTGAGAACAATTTAGGGGCCGCTGGGGGAGACTTTCTAGGGAAAGGGAAGAGCGGGTGTCGGGGCCTTGCCGTGGATGCATTCTGTACCTGGCGGAGGGACAGAGGCAGGGAGGCGGGCTCGCTCTGCGAGGGATATAGTGCTGAGAGCTGGAGTCCTGGAGAGCGCTCCCCTGCCCGAGTCCACTCACATGCCTCCCTGCTTCAGTGTCTGCAGCTGCGATCTTCCCACTGTGGCTGGTGTAATTATTCTTGACCAACTGGTGTTTGCGTGGCCATTTCCTGTCCACGCGCAAATCTGGTTATACCTGTTGACGCTCTTGTCCCCTTTGAGCAGTGCACCTGCTGACTTGGCTTGCCTTTTTGAGTGCCTTTAAAACACAAGCTTGCTGGGGTTGGGGACGTGGCCCAGAGGCTGAAGTGCCTGCTACACAAGCATGATGACTGGAGTGTGGAGTCCCCAGCACCCGCATAGAAAGCTGGTGTGGTCCATGGGTCTCGATCCTAGCACTGAGAAGTGGAGACACGAGATCCCCCAGACTTGATGCCCAGTGAGTCAGCTGGATTGAGGAACTTCGAGGAACGCTACGTTCAGTGAGAGACCCTGTTTCAAAAACTAAGGCAGTAGTATGGACACCAGCAGCAGGCCTCTGACCTCCATGTGGGGTATACATCACACACACTATGCTTTGGCTTCGTCCCGTAAGTGAATTTCACTCTGTATGAAGAGAGAGATGGTAGCACTGGGGTGTCTGCTTGCTCTTGGAGTCTTGTCACCAATTCTTTGCATTGTAAAGCAACAACCACGTGTGTTGTCAAAGCTTAGAAGGGCAGAAATCAGTCTCATGAAGCCGGACTATACTTGGTCACTGGACATATGGTTAGAATTGCATTTTTGTTTTGCCTTTTGTTTTGTTTTGTTTTTGGAGAGTTTCTCTGTATTGCTTTGGAGGTTGTCCTGGAATTCGCTCTGTAGACCAGGCTGGCCTCGTACTCTCAGATATCTGCCTGCTTTGGTCCCCAGAGTTCTGGGATTAAGGCATGCCTTCATATCAGACCATGCGTCCGTAGACCCCACACTGTTTAGAAAGAGATCTCAAAGCAAAGTGATCACTACTTGCTTTTGTCTTTTTTGCACAGGATCTCACTGTGTTCCAAGCTGGCCTTGTGTCAATCTTCCTGCCTCAGCCTCCTAAGCACTTGCCTTATGGTGTAAACCAGCATGTCCCGCTTGTCCCTGTGTGTAGATGTGGCATTTTGTTGTGGCTTCATGGGTGGTTTTATTTGTTTTTCTCTTGCTGATACAAAAAATATTGGTACAACTTAAAGTCGGTGACATCTCATACTTTTGTTCCTATCCTTTTCTTTTTTGAGACAGTGTAAAAAGAGTTTTTTTAAAAAAAAGATTCATTTATTTATTATACATACAGTATTCTGACTACATGTATGTCTGTAGGCCCGAAGAGGGCATCAGATCTCATTACAGATGGTTGTGGGTCAACATGTGGTTGCTGGGAATTGAACTCAGGACCTTTGGAAGAGCAGTCAGTGCTCTTAACGTCTGAGCCACCTCTCCAGCCCCAAAAAGAGTTCTTAATTGGTCTAAATAATAAAAACCCAAGTCAGATATAGGAGAAAATGCTGAAAGATCAGACAGAAGGAGCAAGCCGAAGCACCTTTACCTCCTACCTTCTCCGTGGACAAGAGAGTGTTCCTGTTTCTTTCCGCTTATATCCTCTCTCCACCCAGCCGTCTCACTTCTGTCTGTCTGTACAGACCTCTAGAACTCTATGGTTAGCTAGTGGCAGCTCCATCTACTGATCTTCAGATAGGCTTTATTTGTACAAGCAAGATTTCACCATAAGACAGGGTCTTGGGCCGGGTGTTGGTGGCGCACGCCTTTAATCCCAGCACTCGGGAGGTAGAGACAGGCGGATCTCGTGAGTTCAAGACCAGCCTGGTCTACAGAGTGAGTTCTAGGACAGCCTCCAAAACAATACAGAGAAACCCTGTCTCGAAAAACAAAACAAAATAAAAAGACAGGGTCTCACTATGTAGACCAGTCTGGGCCTGAATTCAGGAATTCACCTGTTTTAGCCTCCCCCATGCTAGGATCAACGGTGTGCACCAACAAGTCTAGCTGACAGCTCATACTTTCTGGACTCCTGTGCATGGTTTTAGACAAAGGAGATACGCCAGTGAACAGTAGGAATTCTCTACCCATGTGAGGGTTGCACTGTGTCCTAGGGTCCCTTTGAGATAAAACACCATGACCAAGGCAACTTGAGGAGAAGGAAGGGTTCATTTCAGTTTACAGCTCACAGCTCACACCATCACAGGAATCTGGAGGCAGGAACTGAGGCAGAAGCCACAGAGCAGCAGCAGTTACAGGCTTGCTGTCTGGCTTGCACACTAGCCTTCTCCACAGCACAGGCCCACCTGCCAAGCGGATGCTGCTGCTCACTGTGGCCGAACCCTCTTACGTCGGCCATCCGTGAGGACAAAGTTTTACAGACATTAGCATCAGCCAATCTGGTCTGGGCAAACCCTCAATTGAGACTTTTCAAGTGACTCTAAGCTGTGTTAAATTGACAATAAAAACTACTAGCACGCATTTTATGTTATCAAAGAATCCATTATGTGTTCTTTGAAGAGAATAGATCAACGGGGAAATGGGGCACTCACTGGTTGGGAGGTCATTGCAGAAGTCCCAGGGAGCGGTGGTGGTGGGGTAGCCAGGGTTGGTGGTGGAGAAGAGCGAGCAGGCAGGCTTGGGTGCTGGGCTGGCTGTGGGCTTGAGAGAAGCTGGGGTGCTGGAGGAGTCCACCCGTTAGCCGGTTGATGGTTCTAAGATGGAGTTGCTGCAGCGTGACGGCTGCTGATGTCTCTGATAGAAGTCTGGCCAGGAGGCTAAGGCTGTGGCAACCCTGCTCACTAGGGCCCAGCCACTGTCGGTACTCGGTTCCCTAACTGAGGCTTCATCTCTTGGCTATGTGTCCACCTGTGTTTAGTCAGAGAGAGGAGAGGAAGGGGGTCAGGCTCTTTCATGCACAGCCTGGAAGTGGCACATATCGCTTTGTTTACCTCTTACTGGGCAGAGCCTGAGCCACCAGCCATGGCTACTTGTTGGGAAGACTGAGAAATAGTTTTTACTGGACAGCCACATGCTCGGCCAAAAGTTTTCACGTTAGAAACTTTCCGTTTAGACCCTCTGCCCAGACCCAGAACTGCACCCTCCCGAGTGAGGCAGCCCCACATTAAATTCCAGTCCAGGAACCCCAGTTCTTCCCCGATCCACCCCCCATATGCTGTGGTAGGGATCGGATGCTGGAATGAAGACTTGCTGGGAGAGGAAGGAATGTAGGTGTGAGGACAGCCCTTTCTGGGCTGTGGCCATTGTCACCTGCTAGGGCCTCATGTGGGTGGGGGCCGTCCACGTTTGCATTGGTGTGGGTTTCTGACCTCTCCCAGCCAGCAGCCCTGTTTGGGGGTGCCTTGGCACCTCCATGTCTCAGCTGTCCTGGTTAGGGTTTCCTCTGCTGTGGTGAAACATCATGACTAACGCAACGTGGGGAGGAAAGGGTTTACTTCAGTTTATACTGCCAGGTAACAGACCGTCACTGAGGGAAGGCAGGACAGGACGCAACGTGGGGAGGAAAGGGTTTACTTCAGTTTATACTGCCAGGTAACAGACCGTCACTGAGGGAAGGCAGGACAGGAACTCAGACAGGACAGGAACCTGGAGGCAGGCGCTGATGCAGAAGCTGTGGCGGGTGTTGCTCACCGGCTTGTTCCCCATGGCCCACCCAGCCTGCTTTCTTATAGACCCTAGAACCACCAGCCCTGGGGTGACCCCACTCACAAAGGGCGGGCTCTCCCCCATCAATCACTCATTAAGAAAATCCTCTCCAGGCTTGCCTGCACCCTGGTGTTATGGAGGCATTTTCCTAACTGGGTTTTCCTCCCTTTGATGCCTCTGGCCTGTGTCAAATTGACATAAAGTTAGCTAGAATACCACTTACTCTTCTCTTGGGCCAGGTCTGAAGCTGGCTTAGACACCTCCTCTTCCTGAGATGGGACAGTTTCTCTGACTTCCCTACCCCTAGATGCTGACAAAGTTGGCTCTCCTCCTCTGAGGAAACCTAAACTGTAGGCACGGACTTTCCTTAGGCAGACCCATACTTCCTTTTATCCCTGGTGCTTTTCCTTCAAGCAGCCTGAGGCCAGGAAATAATCAGATCTGAATTGTTCAGCTGACCGCCCTACAGTTGTTGGCTGTGTTGGTGTATGAGCCATTTCCTAAGATGTCAGAGATGTAAAACATTTTATTTTATTTCTTATGTGTTGGGGAGGGGCACAGTGTATTGGCATGGCAAACACTTGCTAGAGTTGGCTCTTTCCTGCCGCTTTCTGGGATCCAGGGACCAAACTCAGGTCTGTAGGCTTGTCAGCAAGTGCCTCTACCTGTGGAGCCGGCTCAGTGGCCCAGGTGGCCTAAGTTTTACCAAATGAGGGTCGCCTGCTTTCCATTGTCACCCCTAAGTCAGGGTCATTAATATTTACTAGTAAGGTAAGCAACTTCCAGTTTCTAGCATCTATATGGTAGTTACAATGGTGATTTAGCTGGTACTGCAGAATAGTAATGGCCTAAGCAGGATAGAAGCTTAGCTGTTGGAGTCTCTCTCTGTCTCTCTGTCTCTCTGTCTCTCTGTGTCTCTCTGTCTCTCTGTCTCTCTGTCTCTCTCTCTCTGTCTCTCTCTCTCTGTCTCTCTGTCTCTGTCTCTGTCTCTGTCTCTCTCTCTCTCTCTCTCTCTCTCTCTCTCTCTCTCTCTCTCTCTCTCTCTCTCTCTCTCTCAGACGACAACATTTGTGGAGTGGTTCTCTTTCACCTCTATGTAGGTTCTGGGCCTTGAACTCAGGTTGTTAGACAGACCTACATTGTTAGACCTACATTGCAAGTACTTAGGGAAAATGTAGAGTTGACTGTGGTGGCCATGCGATCTTGATAGAACCAGTTGCATCGTTGCCTAAGTTAGAAGAGAATGGAGAGGGTGAGCTAGGAACCCACCTGTAGATAGTGGTGGAGGCCATAGGTTTAAAGGAGAAGAAAATGTGGAGGGCAGGTTCTTTTAAATTTTATTTTTCATTATTCTAATCACTCATTTTATCTGTTTTTAAAAAGAAAGTTAAAATGGGGATAGGGTGGTGGGGACTGGAGATAGATTATCCGTTAAGAGCATTGCCTCCGCCGGGCGTTGGTGGCACACACCTTTAATCCCAGCACTTGGGAGGCAGAGGCAGGCGGATCTCTGTGAGTTCCAGGCCAGCCTCCAAAGCCACAGAGAAACCCTGTCTCGAAAAACCAAAAAAAAAAAAAAAAGCAGTGCCTCCGGAGAATGGGGTAGGATGGGTTTTATCAGCACCCATCAGTAATTCCAGTTCCAGGGAATCTGATGCCCCCTTCTGGCCTCTGCAGGCACTGCAAACACATAGCGTACAAACATGCATGCAGGTAAAAACATTTAAACACATAAAATCAAGTTTGGGTTAACTTATTTATTTATTCAGCAGGTATTGATTGTTGACTACTTCTCTCCTTTCCATCAAGGAAGGAAGTAAATGTGAAATTCATTTATGTTATTCTAGTCTGCTGCTTTGGGCCTGAATCCCATCCATAAATAGTGAATCAGCCTGGAGAACACTGAGTTATATTGTACTTTTCAGTTTTTGCTTTGATACAGTGATCCACTATGTAGCTTTGGTTGACCCAGCACTGTCTGTGTAGACCAGCCTGGCTTTGACCTTGTGGCTGTTGTTGCTGTATGGACTTAGAAAAGCCAGTTCTGGGGGTTCATGCTTGTAATCCCAGCTCTTAGGAGGTGAGAGCCAGAGAGACTTTAGCAGTATCCACCATGGGCCGCATAGTGAGCTTCTTCTGCCCATCCTGGGCTGCCTGTGACCCTGTTTTCAAACAACAACAAACAAACAAATGACAACCATGCAAATGGTGAAAGATCTGATTATAGTTAGTTTAATTTCACATATATGTAGAATGCCTTCTGATTGGGGGTCATGCTGAGGTCAGGGATGAGGGAGTCCCGGTCCTCTAGTGCGCCAGCGCTCCTGTCCGGGCACAGGCTCAGGCAGCTGGAGCTCATGTGTTAAGTAGATGGAAGAGTGTGCTGTGGATGGGTGCGCAGCTGTTTGTGCCAAGGGGATCTGAGGTGGGGACAGGGAGCATGTGGGTGTGCAGGAGGATTGTTGCTGTTTCTTTCCAGCCTGGTCCTGCAGCCCATTCGCCCCAAATAAGCACACAGACACTATATATTAATTATAAAACTATTGGTCAATAGCTAGGGCTTCTTGCTGGCTAACTCTCTTAATTGCTAACCCATAACTACTAATCTATGTGTTACTACATGGCCTTATCTTACCAGAGAACGCCTGGTGCATGGCGTCTCTTTGCAGTCCCTCTCTGCCTTCCTTTTCCTGGCCGCCTTCTGGTCTGGTAGGCCACCTATGCTTCCTGCCTGGGCATCGGTCAGTGCTTTATTCATCAACCAATAAGAGAAACATATACACAGAAGGGCTTACCCCATCGGGAGCAGATCTGAGACGTTTTTGTTTTTGAGGCAGGCTGCTGTCATGTAATGGGTGCCTCAGTTCTCACTCCCGGCTCAGGCTGCTGTCGGGTGGGTGCCTCAGTCTTCAAGTGTTGATGGGTTGCAGGTGTGTACCATCAAGCCAGACTCTGAAAGGTTTTAGGATGTGATTAAGAGGCACAGGTGAGCCTGTGACCCCCGCCTCACCTCCCCAGACCACCAAGCAGCTGAGGGGAGGACTTGGGAGGAGAAGGAAAAGGCATTTCACTAGACTTTGGTTTCCTGTCCTAGTACGAGTCACTTGCCTTGAAGGGCCTGTTCGCTGACGGGGCTCCCACTGGAACATGGGCTCCCAGCTCGTGCTCGTTTTGAGCCCTTTCTTTGTCCAGTTTTTAGCATAGGGCTGGGCACAGAGTGGCCCAGACAAGTGTTTATTTGAGTGCGTGGTGACGGAACAAGACAGTGTCTCTCTGTGGCCCCAGGTCTTGCCTTGTGTTGGGAGATTTTGGCTTTGGTTTGTTGCTACATAAAGGCCCATTAGGTATGTCAAGGGGATGCTTGGAAGAAACCCTTTATCAGAGTTGTGATCCAGAGTCAGACACACCTGTGTTTCCTTTGGATCACCTGTTTGTGTGGGCTTCTCCCCGTGTGTGGATGACTGTACAGCGCTGTCTCCTGGCCTGTCCTTCCAGTGGGTTACTTATCTTTCCTGAGGGTTGAGTTGTATGCATTTGGTAATATTGTTGGTGTTAACAAACCCTTGGTATGAAGTGAAGCCATTGGCAATACTGCCGTGATGTAGTAGCTCTTCAGCAAACTGATCATGTGAGGCTGTTGTTAGGGCTCTGAGGATCAAACCCAGGGCTTTGCCTGTGTCACGCCAATTTCTTCACAAAGGTGCCACATCTCTAGCCCCCTCCCACCATCTTAAAAATTTTGAGGCAAAGTATCACTGTGTATGTAGCTCAGGCTAGCCTCCTTCCTGTCTTAGCCCCCTGACCACCAAGATTATAGATGTGTATACTTCACACTGAGGTCCAGTGTTGTACCTCTCATTTCCCCTATTTATTTGTTTGTTTAATGTGCATTGGTGCTAGTGTAAGAGTGTTGGTCCGCTGGAACTGTAGTTACAGACAGTTGTGAGCCATCATGTGGTTGCTGGGAATTGAATCGGGG